CCCGCCCAGCGCTGGGGCTGCCCTCCGCGAACTCCTACCCGGCAGTGATTCCCTGCCGGCTCCGCGGCTTCACCATTGGCCGGGGACGCTTCCCAGCTTTTCGCTTCCCCTCCTACCGCTGCGTTCCCCCATCTGGTCAAAACATATGCTGGGGGCAGCAAGCCTTGAATCTGCACCAACGTTGGCCACAACCCCAGCTGACCTTTCGTGTCGTAAACATTCCCATATTACTGAGGTTCAAGTCCTTGTTAAGATCCGAATGCCTATCAGTAAGAAAATGTTGAAATAAATTATGACACCGCTGTGCAATGGAATAGTATGTAGCCGGAAACAGGAACGGGGTGGATCCTCTGTGTATCTGGTATGGAAACATCTCCAAAGTAATTGTAGAAAAAATAGCAAGGGGCAGAACAACAGGTATAAAATGCTACCATTTGACCACGGCGGTGGCTCACACCTATAATTCCAGCACTTTTGGAGACTGAAGCAGGAGGATTGTTTGAGTCCAGGAGTTGGAGACCACTCTGGGCAATATAGGAGACCCTCCCTATGAAAAATAAATAAATTAGCCGGGCATGGTGGCTCATGCCTGAGGTCCTAACTACTCGGGAGGCTAAGGTAGAAGGATCTCCTGAGCCCCGGATGTCGAGGTTGCGGTGAGCAGTGATTGTGCGTCACTGCACTTCAGCCTGGGCGACAGAGTGAGATCTTGACTAAATAAATAAAATGCAACCTTTTGTGTTAATAGTATTTATGTGTAAATTTGTACACACACACATATATTAGATTTTAAACACAGAAGATATGCAAGAAATTTGTAATCGTGTTTACTTCTGGGGAGCAGAATCAGAGTCTGGAAGTTTGGTTGAGAGACTTTAATAAAAACTATAGATTAACAGGAAGTTGCAAATATAATACAGAGAGACTCATACCCTCCACCCAGTTTCCACCAATGGTTGCATGTTAACTATAGCACAATATCAAAAGCAGGAAATTGAGATTGGTATAATGTGTGTGTACAGTTCAGTGTCATGTTATTACATGTGTGATTTGTGTAACCACCACTGCAATCGGAATACAGACCTATCTATTGCCACAAAGATCTAGGGGGATGGAGACCTTTAAAAAACAACAACAACAACAACAACAATTCATTGCATGGTTTGAATTTACCACGGACCTGTATGACTGTTTTCATTTTTATGCATTTCCCTTTAAAATGTATATAATACAATTTGTTTTTTGGTGTGCTGCTCTTTGAATTTTGATAAATACATATACATGTAACTATCACAATTTAGGGGAGGTTTCACCATCCCTCAAATTCCCTGACTTCAACCAACCCCGCCCTCCATCCCATACTCTGGGAACTATTAATCTGTTGTCTCCCATAGTTTTCTTTTCCAGAATATCACATACATGGAATAATACAGCGTATAGTTTTTTGGGCGTCTGCCCTCCCCTACTGAGTTAGCATAATGCATTTAATATTCTTCTGTGTTGTTGTGTCTATCACTGGTTCATCTATTTTTTTTTTTTTTTTTTTGAGTTGGAGTCTCACTCGGTTGCCCAGACTGGAGTGCAGTCTCACGCTCCCGGCACTGCAGCCTTGACCTGCTAGACTCTGGCGATCCTTCTGCCTCAGCCTTCCAAGTAGCTGGAACTACGACAGGCTTGCACTACCACGCCCGGCTAATTTTTTTTTATTTATTGTAGACACGCGGTCTTGCCAAGTTTCCCGGGTGAGTCTCGAACCCACGGGCTCAGGCAATCCACTCACCTCGGCCTCCCAAAGTGCTGGGATTACAGGCTGAGCCTCCAAGCCCAGCCTGGTTCATCCTTTTGTATGGCTAAATAGCATCTCATTACATGGATGTGTTACAGTTTATTCATCCATCAGCTAAAGAACATTGAATTATTTCCAGTTATTAGCAATTAGTAGTAAAGTGTCTATAAACGTATATGCAGAGGTTTTTGTGAGAATATAAGTTTTTATTTCTCTTGGATAAATTTGCCATAGATCCATATAACTTTTTAAAATATAGTAATCCCAGCTACTTGGGAACCTGAGGCAGGAAGATCACTTGAGCCCAGGAGGTCGAGCTATGACCACACCACTGCACTCCAGTCTGAGTGACAGAGTGAGACCCTATCTCTAAAGAAAAGCAAAGTATAAAAGTGACAAAAACTTTACATGCTGCCTTTGGCAACTCTGACTAATGCAAAAAATCATTGTTATGTGTGAAGTCTTATTTTTTATGGCATTTGGGAGATCCCAGAAATGTTGGTCAAGAAAGCTTTGCAAAGAACAAAGCCCAATACAGACAATGCCAGCTAAAAGTTTCCTTCTCCTAATAACAAACTCTTATAACCCAGAGTGGAAATAGCTTCTTTCTGGCTTGGGACTAGGTAGGCCTTAATAGGCTGCTGGTTACAATTCCCACACTCTGTAAGGTATGTGGAACAAACCTGCTGTTGCCTTAGAATATTCTAGATCCTATTCAGTGCAAACTGCTTGCATGGGCTAAGGGGTGCTTGATCTGAAGAGGATCTGAGGCATTTATTGAAAGTTTAGGGGGGGTCTCAGTTTTGAACACCTTTAAAACTTCTTGATTTGGTCTAGTTTATTTCATGAGGAGGTCGACTCATTTGCTCCTATTTGTATCACTTTCCCTCTGAAAACTTACACCCAGAAAGGACACACTTACACCCAGAAAGAACACATTTATGCTGGCTTAAAACATAGCATTGAGGAATGTGTCTTTTTTTTTTATGTACTTGTAACCCAGATGTCAAATATAAATTGGCTTAGGTGGGAAAAAATAATTTAAAAGTTGGAAAGAATTGTATTTTGTAGGCATGCTTGAATACTGATATGTTAAGTATTCTTTCATGAGCATTTAATAAATTTATAGGCAAATATAGGTAGTTTTTGTGTACTTTGAAATAACCAATGTGAAATTCATATGAACATATGTCAGAAAAGATTGTTTTGAAAACAAACTGGGTAGTTACAAAAATACAACTGAGATATGAAAAAAAAAAAGTTTAGGGGAAAGAGAAAACTGGGGTCAACCATATTGTTTTTTCTAGCGTTGGCAAAAAAGCTCTCTCTTGTCTCTTGATTGACTTCTCTCCCTTCCCAGCCTAAACCCTCAGCACAAAGATATGTATTATCCTAAGGGTTCTCCCACCTCTTACAGGTCAGAGAACTTGATCGACATTACAATACTACCTAGCACCTGTATCGAGCTTGATCGTTACAAAGGAATTTCATGTTATTTCATGCACACAAAAGTCCGGTGAAGTAGATATATCTATACTCATTTTACAGATCAAGTGAAATGACTGATAGAATTTCTTTGGATTCTAGACTGATGCTCCCTCTACCAGATAAAGTTGACCAAAATAAAACCTTTCAAAAAAATTAAGGCAGAAAATAAAAGCCTAAATTTCTAATTATAAAGTGTTACATGTTCACTAAAAATACATTTCAATGTAGAAAACATAAATCAGACAAAAATGAGCTATGATCCTTTTAACCAGAGATAAACCCTGTTAATATTTTGGCATATTCCTTTTAAATTTTTTACACAGATAAATAATTAAGCACTCTCCATATATCTACATATTTTGTAATTGAATATGTGTTATATACACAGTTCTAGTCTGCCTCTGTTACTCAACAAGAGCTTTTTCCAATGTAGTAAAAAATTTTCATAAACAAAAATTAAATAAGTCAAATATATATGTATTATATATACACTGAAAGGAGAGAGAGAGAGAGAGAAAGAACTGTACGAATGACCCTATTATTAGCAGTATCAGCTTTATTATTAGCAAGTGTTAGGTTTGGAAAATCAATTCCATTTTCTGGGCTCTTTTCCTCATTGGTGGAATGAAGGACAGTTTTAAGGTCCCTACCCTTTCACGAGTCAGTGGGTAAGGCCTAATGTACACGGGGTGAAGATAATCTAGAGAGACTTAGTACTTTTCCTATTATTAAGTAGGAGCTTCTGGAAAAGTACTGGGTTTCCAGAACTCTGCTGTAACTGAAAGGATTCCTGGGGACAGGTTCAGGCGGTGTGATTCTCGTAAGGAAGAGCTGCCAAAAATAGCTCCCCAGAAAATGAATGTTCACTGTCTTCCTCGCTTACAAGATGGGCACACTTCCTCACTTCTCAGAGAGATGAAGGAAGTAACACTTGCTTCTGATATCATGACTACGCTTTTCCAGAGCGTACACATTAAAATGCTTTTGTTTATCTCTTTTTTGTTC